ATTGTGATAAAATTATCATCTAATGGGTGGTGGGATTTATTGACATAAAACTTGCCTTTGGGCTAAAGTTTTAATTCTATTAAATCCAATTAAGAAACCCTTATGATAATATTTTATCTCAATTACTAAATAGCCAGAAGAATCCAGAGACATAAAACTTGCCTGTGGGCTAAAGTTTTACTCAATTAGATCCAACTGAAAAAATTTTATTAATGATGAAACTATTATCAAATGAGTTGAAGAATCAAATGACATAAAACTTGCATATAGGCTAAAGTTTTATTCAATAAGATTCATTACAACCATTATGATAAAACTTAAGAAATCATGTTCCTTTTCTTAATCCCTGTGGGCAAATTAAGAAATATGATCTAAAGTTTACATCATAAAGTTAAACTTCATGATAGAATTAGAAATTATTTATAAATAACCATAAAGTAAATAAATTGATTTATTTCTATCGTCACTGATAAAACTACTAAACTACATTCCGATACATAATTGCCTATGGGCTAAATTATGACCGTAGTCCAGTATTTCATCCTGATTAATTATACAAATATAACAATATTGCCTGTGGGCTAAATTTCATCATGTTACATACAATTAATCACAAATGATATGTCCAAAACTTTATGTGATCAAAATAAACCGCTTAATATATAATTTTAACAGATTAAGGATGCTGTGGCTACTCCCAAACCAAATTAAAATTATAAGATCACTAGACAATTATCAAATTCTTGCCTAAACTTTATGTGATTAAAACTTAATAATCTTAGGTAGCTGAATATGCTGTAGCTATTCCTTAATTAACCAAGATTGAAAACTTAAGAGACTTCAGTAAATTAAAGATGCTTTGGCTATTCTTTAATGAACCGAAATCATATCACATTGGCAAGGAATACTTAAAATTTTGACAAATAGATTATACCAGATTGTGATGGGAAAATCTAAATATACTCCAAGGAAAGGGGGTTAGAGACTAAGTCTCACTGAAAACCAATTCCTTAAATAGAGTATCAATTTAAGGAGACTAGTGGCACAAGATGTTCTTAAGTCATGACCATTAAAAATAGTATGTCTCCCCGATTCATATATACTTAATGTATAACTGTTTGGGGGTATGAACCTAAAACTGTAGGGTATACACCAGAAAAATGTAAGGTTCACCTATGATTAAAGCTTAAATGGTGAACTAAAAATAGCGGACTAAACGTGCTTAAATTCAGGCACTACCGCGACTAAAGTTTATGCGTAAGTCCAACTTAAATAGGAACTAATATAATTATATCTCAAAGTATGCATTGCTAAAGGCATAATAAAATTGCATAATTTAAAACAGAATATTATGCTCAGGACAAATATGCATAAAATTAAACATTAAACTCATATATTCCAAATAAATTGCATAACTTAAAGCAATTTACAATATGAGATTTTAAAGTATAAACCTAATATTCAAACACCGATGAGTTCAAACCAAAAGAGACCCAGCATAAAGAGGGAATAGCGTTGCAAGGGGACTAGTAGCAACTCCTTTGTTCAAGATTGTGTTGCTACTACCAATGTCGTCTATAAAGAGATTTTAATAATGTGTAAATACAATCATTGATATTATTTTTTTTTTCAAATGACAAAATTACTATATATCTAGACAAAAAAATATATATATCTTAAATACAAATGAATTAAGATAGTAATTCATTTTAGAGAACAAAGCACATTTGTCTAATCTATAAAAAAAATACTAAACATTGATAAATAAAAGGGAAAATGATGAGTTTGGTCCCTGAGTTATAATAGTAGTGACTGTGAACAAGAAAAAGTTGTACAGGTATATATTCAAATTTCAAAATTGCGCGGGTACAAGATCTCTATCAAGAAAATCCTCTGATTCTTCACTTGGTTTACTTGATTTGAAAATTTGGCTGAAGGGCCTCCGGAATGCCGCTTGGCTTTGTTGCTTGATCTTCGTTGAAGGGCCTCCGGTCTTTAATTGGCTTGATCTTCAGTCCACTTTAGCTTAGCTTGAATGTTCGAAATATTTGATCTTCAATCCACTTAGCTTGATTTGATTTCTTGGATATTTGATCTTCGATCCACTTTAGCTTGGCTTGATTTCTTGGATGCTTGATTTGATCTTCAATCCTTTAGCTTGGTTTGATCTTCAATCCAGAGCTTGATTTGATCTTCAATCCAGAGCTTGATTTGATCTTCAATCCAGAGCTTCTCTTCAACTCTTCAAGTGTGTTCTTTGGAATGAATGAAGAGCTCTATTTATAGGGAAGAATATGAGAGACTTTCACTAGAACCCAAACTCTTCAATATTATCCTTATATTATCACTTAATATTTTAGGATAATATGAACATTTATCCACAATGTATCTAGCCACCATTGTATCCAGGTTCATAACCTTATCACATATTCAAATTAAACAATTAATTAATTTAAATATATGAATATCTTATCACATATTCAAATTAAATAACTAATTA